TGTGCATTGGGAGGGGGAGAGAGCCCTTGTAGCTGTAAGAGCGCAGAAGCCTTTGCATCTCATCCCCGTGCTGCTTAATAGAGCGGTGCCGAGCTTGGGCACAGGGCAGGGAGTGTGTCTGTATGGGACTTCCTGTGGGAGCATCCTCTTTTTTTTTTTTTTTTTTTTAAAAAACACCCCCAAGGGTAAAGTGTTTTGGTGCTGTGCCTTGCAGGGGGAAGCAGGGAGGGAAGGGGCTGCACCTGGAGGTGGAGATGGAGGTGGAGATGGAGTCCTTTCATGGGTCAGGTGGGTTTGGTGCTGTGGAGCAGGAGCTCTGCTGCTCTCAGAGGCTGCAGCCCCTCACTGGGGAAGGATGGGCAGGAGTGGGGCTCCAGGGGCCGTGGTGGTCCCAGGGAACTGAGGAAGGGGAGGACGAGGATGAGGCACTGGTACAGATAGGCAAGTGGAGGAGGGATGGAAACTGGTGACTGGGCTTAAGATGATGGAAATGGACAAGGAAAACCCACTGCCTTGAAGCCTGCTAAGAAGGCAGGCGAAGAAGGAAATGAGAGGGAGAAGAGGAGGGGGACTCAAACAGGCTGAGATGCTCAGGGAATAAAGCAAAGATTAAAGCGACTACTGAGAGCTTGAGAAAGCTAGGACCAAGCTGTAGTAGCTTTAGGACACTGCAAACATTAAAAAAAAAAAAAGAAAAAAAATGTTTTAAGTAGATAATGATGAAACATGAACTGTGGATGAGAAGACGGGATTGAAGTGTTGAAGCACTGAGGCTCTGAAGCAGAAGGACCTCTGTTTTTACAGAGGTATTTTACTTGCATAGGCAGGGGGATGAGGTGCTGCTGCCTTTGGTGGGGGGCTGGTTTTGGGGAGGGCTTTGCTGTAAAGGACAGCGGCAGCTCCTGGCAGAGCTGTGCCCCCCACTTTGCAGTGGGGGTGGCAGTGCCCTGGCAGTGGGGACCCCTCGGGGACCTGTGCTGCTTTCTCTGTCTTCGAATGCAGCAGCCTG